ATGGGACAATTTGCGTATTAACCTTTTATTATATAGGATATACACTGAGTGGCCAGATTATTAGACATTCAAAGATCATAATAATCTGGCCACTCAGTGTACATTAGCTATGTGACCTTAGGCAAATTATTCCACTTCATTGAACCACATTTTTGAAAATGGAAATCATGCCGGGACCGGTTTGGCTCAATGGATAGAGCGTCGGCTGGGGGACTGAAGGGCTCAGGGTTCGATTCCAGTCAAGGGCATGTACCTTGGTTGCGGGCATATCCCCAGTAGGGGGTGTGCAAGAGGCTGATCGATGACTCTCTCTCATTGATGTTTCTAACTCTCTATCGCTCTCTCTTCCTCTCTGTACAAAAATCAATAAAATGTATTAAAAAAAAAAAAAGAAAATGGAAATCATACTCTAGGATTGCAAAAGGATTAGTTGAATTAGTAAGTGACCAATAAGTGATAGCTGCTGTTACTGTTTGTTTTGTGTGCAAGCTGTTGTGGCTGGACGACCTCTTCATCACCATTTATCCCCTACTGCTGTGATTATTTGTATATGGCAGTGGAAAAAATATTCAAGGGTATTGTAGCAGCCCAGACTGAGTGGGTCTTTCAGGTGTTGGTACATGTGTTTTTCACTCTCAGCAGGATTTCTGGAATTAAGGAAATTGTTCTAAAGTCTGAGAATAGGACCCTCATTTGAAAGTATGTGAGGGGAGATATACCGTTCTTTAATGTAAACCCATGAAAGCCACGATAGTCACAATGGAGAGTATTCCAAGTGGGCCCAAGTATCTCTAATAGAACAAATGATTATTTCTGATGCTTATCATTCTTGGAAGATACTTGCCACTATATTCTCATTGAAAGATAGTTTGTATGAGTTTGCAGCTCGGGGTTCAGAGATTTTGCCACCCAATTTTCTACCTTGGCTGAAAGATGGTTTTAATCATGATTCATTTCTTGTAGTGGAAAGAAAATTGACTTTGGAATTAAACAGAATATGGGTTTAATAGCTAAGTGATCATTATAAAGTTATTTAAATCTCTAAATCTCAGTTTCTTCATTATAAATATAAAATAATAAACCAATTTTGTAAAGTGGTTGTGAGAATTAAGTGAGTTATGTACTTCCCAAAAGTAGATGTTTTAAAATGTTTATTTTCTTCCAAGAGTCTGATTTTTTAACCTTAGCCTTGAATTTTTAGCTTCCTGTAGTATATCAGTAGTATTTGTATTCTGACATGTATATCTCAACATGTGTAAAGCAAAATTCATCATTCTCCCTCTTCTTCCCATATTCACTCTCTCTGTTAATGGCAGCAACTTTCAACATTATTCAAGTTTGATGGTGCCAGCTTTGATTCCTTCTTCTATCCTAAATCCTTTTTCTATTCTAAGAATGATCAATTCTTTCTTTTTTATTTTATTTTTAATTCTCACCTGATGATATTCCACCTCCCTATTATTTTGTAGAGTGAATGAAAGGGAGGAAGGGAAAGAGGGAGTGGAGAGGGAGGGAGGGAGGGAGGGAGGGAGGGAGGGAGGGAGGGAGGGAGAGAGAGAGAGAGAGAGAGAGAGAGAGAGAGAGAGAGAGAGAGAGAAACATTAACGAGAGAGACACATCAATTGGTTGTCTCCCACATTCACCCAGACCAGGGCCAGGGATTGAACCTGCCACTGAGGTATGTGCCCTTGATCAGAAATCGAACTCGCGACCCCTTGGTCCCGGGTCGATGGTCTAACCACTGAGAAACTCAGCCAGGGCTCTCTTTCAACCTTTCTATTTCCACCTATTTTGATTTTAACCTCGATTACCTATCACTTAGACAGCTTAGGATTTTCTTGACTAGTAATTTACATTCCCATATTTTCCCTCTTCTCAAGCTACACATTGCTGCAGAATCATTTTTTAAAACATGGCTTTTGCCCTGGCCAGATAGCTCAGTTAGTTGGAGCATCGTCCCCTACACCAAACGGTTGTAGGTTTGATTCCCAATCAGGGCACATACCCCGAATGTGAGTTTGATCCATGATTGGGGCCAGTTCGAAGGCAAAAGATCAAGATTTCTCTCACACATCAATGTTCTCTCTCTCTCTCTCTCTCTCTCTCTCTCTCTCTCTCTCTCTCTCTCTTCTTTTCTCTCTCTCTCAAATCAATAAAAAAATATATCTTGGATGAGGATTAAAAACCAACAACTAAAAACAACAACAGCAACAACCCAAAAAGGCTCTTATTAGGGTGCTTACTTTTTCAGAAATGTTCTTTATCCTGCCACAGAGATTAAGGAATTCACTACAGAGTTCTTTTCTTACAAATGCACATAATGAGGCTCAGGGAAATTATTTTTTAATTTTCCATAAAGATCATATCTGTGCTAGAGAGTGGCACCTTAATAAGATTACAAGACCTCAGCTCACTCACAGGCTAGTTCTCTTCTCTATTGGAATATGGCCCAAACACAGTTTTCAAGCTCTTCCCATTCTATCTTTCCATAGTTGACCTTCAACTTCTAGTGCACCTAGAGTCTAACTCCATTGAAGTCTCCTATGCTATTCCAAATCCCTAATGGTGTAATACTGCTCCTTCCACCCTCACTTGTTGAAATTCTGTTGTTCCTAAATCCCAAATCAATCTGATGTCTTACCCATCAAGCCAGAAAATCAGGTCCTATACTCCAAAACATGCATTGCCTCTAACCACATTTTGCCTTGTGCTATAATTATTCATGTACATGTTAGCAAGCCCTGTAGATTAGTACGCACACTATTTGGGTAGGGCCCTCTCGCTACATCTGTCGGAAGTAAGTAGTTACTCAGTAATCTGATACCAGGTGATTCTTTCCTTTATCTGTTTCATAGGATGCTAATTATAGTGCTAAGAAATAACAGTATGCTTCTGTGAAGAGAAGTGTGATCAGGACGTGAGCCACCTCATTCCTCGAGTATAAAGAGTGCTTACCATAGCCTTATATCAAAATAGATGTTCTGACTTTTCTTAACTTTCTGGACAAGAGTAATCAAAACCATGGAATTAGACTTGGGAATTAAACTCATTTTCTTACTCATATTCAGTCCTTCAAATAATTTATACTTTTCCTTTTTTACAAACAAACCTGAGAACATATCTTTTGTATTTTTTCTTTGATTCAGAAATGATTGCTGTAGAACTGACAACATTTATACCCACACCTATGCTAGAAGCATAATTGTACCAAATAATGTTTTAAAGTGTTGGTCATTATTTTCTAAAGGGTTATTACTGTGGTTTTACATGATGAAGTTTAGCTAAATTGTTGTTTCAGTGTCTTTTTCTTGTTAGGGAAAAGGCTGACAATGTTTGGTGGGTTTGTCAGTTATAGACTGGAAAACAAACAGAGAAATATCATATAGTATTTAATACATTCAGGTTTATTTCAAAGAACATGTATAGAATTAAAGTTATTTATCCAGGGAGAAGAGATAATATAAAAACCAAATATTTATTGCTTACTTATTCTATGTCAGGGTATTTATCTTCTTTATTCCTCATAAGGATATGATGAAGTAAGCACTATTATAATGGGTGAAAAAAACCTAAGATTAGGGACAGACACAGCTTTAACTGATGGGGCTAACACCCATTTAGATGCCAAAAATGTCTAATACAAGAGCTTCTTACCATTAGAAGGTTCTATGTTGGGTCCCAACTTGGGGATTATAAAACAAATTAGTAAACAAAAATAACAAAACTAGTGTTTTCAGACAGAGCTTTAGTCGAGAGAACAAATACTGCACTTGAAAAAGAAGCTCAGTCTTTTAGGGCTGCCTGTCACGCACTTTGTGTCACAGGACTTTTAGTGTGAAATGGGAGCCCAGGTTGCTTGGGTGTGTTCTGCTGTTGTCAAGGCTGAGGGAAGCAATACCGAGCCATACATTCTACCAGATCAGTTATGCGCTGTGGTTGTAAAGAGTGCTGCAAATAATCCTGTCATCTATATTTTTCACTCTTTAAATAAGGAAACGATTGACTCATTTCTAATCTCACCTCTTCTGGACAAAGGTTGGAACTCCTTTGGTAATTACTGGGGCAAAACACACACACAAACAAATCAGGGTAGGGACCAGGTGATACTAAGGGCCAGGTTTTATGCAGTCTTTGACGTGGAAGGATTTTAGGAAAGGATTTAAGTAGAGAGGTTTTAGCCCCCTGAATTTGAAGTCATTATGATTTCCCCAATTGTTAAAAGGCTTAAAATAATAATAATTATAACAAAAGCGGTTACTAATATATTATACTTTAAATGCTCTTAATACTACTGTAACATAAATAGTATTTTAAATATATTATCTCCTTAAATCTGTATCAAAAGCCTTATAAAGGTAGGTAGTATTCTCATTTTTTTTCAACTGAAGAAACTGAAACTGAAAAGATGACATAATTTGTTTAAGTTAATAAAGTTATGATTTTAACTGAAGTCTGTCTTGCTTTAAAGCCCTCGCTCTTTGTATTATCCACGCTCTGTCCCCAGCTCTTTCCCCAACAAGAAGTAGTCAGAGCTGCAGAGCTTGGGGAGAGAGGGCAGCCAAAAGAAACTTGGATGTAGGTAGAACCTAATTTGGACCTGAGTCTACAGAGATGCTGATTGTACCTCCCCTGGGATGTAACTCAGAAGAGTGGAACATTGCACTCCAAATGTGACTTTGGAACAGACTTAAGTTCAGGAAAAGGCCAATCGATGTTTGCACAGTAGGGTCAGTCATAAAATGATGGAACTGGAAAAGACCTTTGAGATCATCTGGTCTAACCTTCTCTTTTTACAGGAAACTACAACCCAAAGACATTGAATCATTTGACCAAGGTTATGGTTTTTGAGAGAACAGGTAGAAAACTGTGGTCTGCTGGTCTCAGACTCTCTGCTCGCTCTCAACATAACACTGCCAGTGCTTGGATGCTGGAGAATTCTCTTCTGTGTCTAATATTCTGATTTCCTTTATTTAATAGGTATTTCAGTATCTGTAGACAAAATGGAATCAACTCCATTTAATCGACGGCAGTGGACTTCACTATCATTGAGGGTAACGGCCAAAGAACTTTCTCTTGTCAATAAGAACAAGTCATCGGCTATTGTAGAAATATTCTCCAAGTAAGTGCTGATTCTGGTCCAAAAGGACCATCTGTCTTGAGCAAACATTACCACCTGTCAGGGAAATCGGTAAAGGAAGTACATAGTATCAAATGGCTTTATTGAGCTCCTTTTGTATTTTAAGCACTATTTAGGCATTGTGGAGAAGGTGGATGACTATAATAATTGGGAGACACATTTTTCTTTGAATTTTTTTTAGTTAGAGAAAAAGTTACAAATTCAAAAGGTAATTGTAAAACACATAATTACCAAACAAAATGTCACAAGTTCCAAATAAGTAAGAATAAGACCTAGATACAGAGTAAGAGAGAGAGTGACCATCATGGATAGAGGCTAGTCACAAAGGCTACCTGGTTGAGATGAGCTATAAAGCGAGTTTTGATTTAGTTGAAGAGAATGGAATGTAAGGTGCACTCTCTACTTGCATTGTCCAATATAGTAGCTACTACATATATGACTATTTTAATTAAAATTAAATAATATTTAAAATTCAATTCATCAGCTGCACTGGCCACATTTCATTACATGTAGCTGGTGGCTGCCATATTGTACATCACAGAAACATTTCATCATTGCATGAAGTTCTGTTGAACATTGCAACTATGTAGGCAAACTGTTGGCCACTGACTGCATTTTAGTAAAAAAAAGATTTACTGGGACACAGCCATGTCCATTTGTGTACTGTCTATGGTTACTTTCATCTACAACAGCAGAGTTGCAGCAAAGACCTATGGTCCTCAAAGTCTAAATATATACTATCTGACCCTTGAAGAAAAAGTTTGCTGACTTCTACTCTGAACCATGAGTTCTTTGATATGAGGGTCCCTTTCCTGCTTATTTTGTATCCCCAATCTATAGCATGGTGACTTGAACATAGTAGACACACAACAAGTATTGAAGAAATACTATATCTATCTATTTCTCTCTCGCGCTCTCTCTCTCTCTCTCTCTCTCTCTCTCTCTCTCTCTCTCTCTATATATATATATATATATATATATATATATATATATATAAAATAAAGGCAGTGCTATAACAACCGAAACAACCATTTGACCAGTCACCATGTGTTGCTACCATAGATGCATAGACACAGGTAAAGTCTATGAGTAAACTAAGAATGAACAAGACAAATGCTTGCCCTCATGGAACTTGCACTGTAAGAAGGTTAGATCAGGGATGAGAATTCAAAATTGTCACCAGCACAGACCTGAGTGCCACTTCTCAGAGCGGTCAAAGATACACCTAGTAGTGGACTGGGGTTGTGACTGAAGGGCTGGTGCTAATGTGAAGGTGAGGCCAATCTGGATTTCCCAGAGGAGCCAATGGCTGCCTAGGAGGTGTGTGCCGTGCCAGCACAGCCAAGGGTTCGGCAAGCCTGAGGGAGGGATGTAGAAAAGACAGACAAAAAGAAAAAGCTGGGTCTAGGTGGATCTTTCTATGTCTGGCTAAGTCCACAGAGAAAAGATCCAGACAGCAAGCTGAGCCTTTATTTTATAGCCAGAGGTAAACAAGGTAGTTGTCACCATAGTTACAATGTTCTTATGAGTTTCTCTTGTTTTGGCAGCACTTGCTGCATCTCCCACAGCCCATTAACTACTCAGATAAGATCTAGGGGGAATCTTAAGGTAAAGTTTAATTATGCTAAGAGGGCTGTGCCCTCTAAGCTGGGACTTGTTTGTGTCTTTGCCAACAGGTCAGTCCGAGGCTTAACCCTATAGCCGCTCTCTAGAGAGGTAGAGCTTTTTTGACACTGACTGGCATAGAAACTGACCAATCAGAACCAAATCTGGGTGAACTGAAAGGAGCTAATGGCTGCCTAGGAGGTGGAGCTTTTGACAATGACTGGCATAGAATCTCACCAGTCAGAACCAAATCTGGTTAAACTGTGAAGAGCCAATGGCTGCCTAGGAGATGGAGCTTTTGATGCTGACTGGCATAGAAACCGACCAATCAGAACCTAATCTGGATGAACTGCGAAGGCAGAACCTAAGGTGGGGGCTGAGGAGGGGTTTTAAGGGTAACAGCTGTTTGGTGTAAGGTATAAGAAGTTCAATTTTTTAATAATCAGTTTGGCAGTAAAGTGCAAATGGCTGGCTATCAGTCCAGATATAAAGGTTACGTATTTTGTCTTCCAAGAGCATCTCCTCCTGCTGAAAAAGGCTCCCTCCCCCAACCCCCATTTAAGCAATCCTACCCTATATAATCTATCTATACTAATAAAAGGGAATATGCTAATTAGACCAGGTCGACCAGCCATCTTTCAAACATCCGACTTCCTTCAAGACAAAGCCATGGTGGTGGGGGCCGATGCAGGGGCAGTTTGGGGCAGTCAGGCCTGCAGGGGAGAGCAGTTAGGGGTGAGATCAGATTGGCAGGGAGTTAGGGGAGACCAGGCTGGTAGGGGAGGGCAATTGGGGGTAAACTGGACGGCAGAGGATGTCAGTTGGGGGTGACCAGATCGGCAGGGAGGGCCTTTGGAGGTGACCAGGCCAGCAGGGGAGAGCAGTTGGGGGCCACCAGGCTGGCAGGGGAGGGCTGTTGGGGGCAACTAGGTTGGCAGGGGAGGGCAGTTGGGGGCATTAGGCAGGCAGGCAGGTAAGTGGTTAGGAGCCAGTGGTCCTGTATTGTGAGAGGGATGTCTGACTGTTGGTTTAGGCCTGATACACAGGCATCCCAGCAGGATCAGGCCTAAACTAGCACTGTGACATCCTCTGAGGGGTCCCGGATTGGAGAGGTTGCAGGCCGAGCTGAGGGACAACCCCGACCCTGCGCACGAATTTTGTGCACCAGGCCTCTAGTCTATATATATAAAAGCCTAAGCGACCATTCAACTGGTAGCTATGACGTGTGCTGACTACAGGGGGCAGATGCTCAATGCACAGGCATGGAAACATGGAACAGATTGATGAATCTCAGAGGGAAGGGCAGAGCGGGGAGGAGAGAGGGTGGGAAGAGATTAATCAAAGATTGAATATGCATACTAGAGGCCCTGTGCACCAGTGGGGTCCTTTGGCCTGGCCTGTGGGGATCAGGCCAAAACTGGCAGTCTGAGATCCCCTAAGGGGTCCCGAATTATGAGAGGGTGCAGGCCAGGCCAAGGGACCAGGCCTCTAGTATGCAAATAATAAACTATGATGGGAAATACATTGACCTTGCTCAATAAAGATTCCATGGTTGGGAAGAGCTTAGGGAATATGGTAGCTTTACCTCACAAGTAATTTGTTAATTGATAGGTAGCTTCAATGCATTTAAGAAAAGCATGGTAGCCCTAACTGGTTTGGCTCAGTGGATAGAGTGTCGACTTGTGGACTGAAAGGTACCAAGTTCAATTCTGGTCAAGGACATGTACCTTGGTTACGGGCACATGCCCAGTAGGAAGCATCAGATCAATGTTTCTCTCTCAATGATGTTTCTAACTCTCTATCCCTCTTCCTTTCTCTCTGTAAAAAATCAATAATATATTTTTAAAAAAGAAAAAGAAAGAAAGAAAATGATGGTAAATATTTAAAGAAAGTAATTCTGGGAGCTATATCTAGGATATAATTAAATACCAATAAGAGATTTCTGTAATCTACAATATCACCTTTTCTTCAATTACAAATCCATCAAGCACCTGCTATGTGGAAAACACTGTCCTTTCAAACTGTTGACCTTGGTTATTGCTTAAGGTGAAGTGAAGATTGTATGAGACCACCCAGCCCATTTACCTTTTACATTATGCATTTTATATTGCTGTAATTTTATGTCACACATGTATTATTCTTATATTAAAAAATAAAATGAATGAAGCTATTTCAGACAAAAAGGATAAAGATCTGAAGACTATTAAGACTTAATCCCTGACCTCAAGGAACTTAATAGTATATTTAGTATAGTTTATATGCAGGGTATCCCCCCAAAATGTATACACACTCAATTGATGTTTCTTTCTTTTCAGATTTAACCCATTGGAAGTAAAAATTATTCAAACTGTGTATACATTTTGAGGGCACACCCTGAGTAAAGGAAGTCCCCAAACTTCCTGAATCTTAAGAATCACGTGGGGTACCAGTTATCTATGCTGCATGAAAAAAAAAAATCTTCAAAGTTCAGTGGCTTAAAATAATGAGAGCATTTATTTTGCTTATAAATCTCTAATTTGGGCAGAGCTTGCCTCTGCTCCATCAGCCAGAGTGGCTCAAAGACTGGTGACCTTAATTTTACCTAAAGGCTCACTCAGCTCATCAGTGAGGAGTCGAAGCTGGTAGGCATCTGGGCTCTCAGCTGAGGCCCTGTTTGGAACACCATGTGGCTGCTTGGCTTGGTTGGCTGCATTCCAAGGGCAAACATCCAGACACAGAGGGAGTGATGGAACAAAGGAGGAAGGGAGTCAGGGTGAGAGGATGGATTGCCTTTTGTAACCTAGCCTCAGAAGTTACACATTTTTGCCACATTCTCTCCATTAGAAGTGAGTCACGAAAACTGGCTCATATTCAGAGGAAGGGGAGTTTGACTCTACTTTTATTAATTCTTTTAATCCTCACCCAATGATATTTTTTCCATTGATTTTCTTAGAGAGTGGAGGGGAAGGAGGAAGGGGAAGAGAGAATGAGAAACATCGACATGAGAGCAACACATCAATTGGCTGTCTCTCGCACATGCCGGGGATGGAGCCAGCAGTAGAAATATGTGCCCTTGACCAGGAATCGAACCAGAGACCCTTCAGTCTGCAGGTTGACACTCTACCCATTGAACAACTGGCCAGGGCTGACTATTTTTAAAAAATATATTTTATTGATTTTTTTACAAAGAGGAAGAGAGAGGGATAGAGAGCCAGAAACATCAATGAGAGAGAATCATCGATCAGCTGCCTCTTGAACCAAGGCACATGCCCCTGACTGGAATCGAACCCAGGACCTTTTAGTCTGCAGGCCGATGCTCTATTCACTGAGCCAAACCGGTTTGACATGGGCTGACTATTTTTTAATGGGTGGTGTTTCAAAGGTTGTTTTGGATATGT